TATGTATTGTATGTAATGTATGTATTGTCTGTATTGTATGTATTGTATGTATTGTATGTAGTGTATGTATTGTATGTATTGTATGTGTTGTATGTGTTGTATGTATTGCATGTATTTTATGTATTGTATGTATTGTATGTATTGTATGTATTGTATGTATTGTGTATGTATTGTATGTATATTGTATGTATATTGTATGTATTGTGTGTATTGTGTGTATTGTGTGTATTGTATGTATTTTCTGTATTTTGTGTATAGTGTGTATTGTGTGTATTGTGTGTATTGTGTGTATTGTGTGTATTGTGTGTATCTAATGGTATGTAATGGTATGTATTGTTAGGTATTGGTATGTCATGTATGTATCTTTGGTATGTATGTATCGTATGTATGTATGGTATGGTATGTCAATGTAATGTAAATCAATGTAATGCAATATAATGTAATGTAATGCAACGTAATGTAATGTAATGTATGGTATGTATGTATGTATGTATGTATTTTTGTATGCATGCAAATATTTCGCGTAGACCAGGTTGACCAATGTCAATGTATGTATGTACGTATGTATGTATGGATGTATGTATGTATACATATGTATGTATGCATGCAAATATTTTGCGTAGACCCGGTTGACCAAAGTCAATGTATGTATGTATGTATGTATGTATGTATGTATGCACGGTTGTATGTATGTATACGTATGTATGTGTGTATGAGTGTATGTATGTATGTCTGTCTGTATGTCTGTATTTGGGTATGGTATGGACGCACGTATATTTACATCTGCATATATATATATACATATCATATGTATGTATGTTTGTAGGTATGGTATAGTATGTCTGTATTGTATTGTATTGTATTGCATTTCATTGCATTTCATTGCATTGCATTGTATTGTATTGCATGTATGGTGTGTATGGTGTGTATGGGATGTACGGAATGTATGGCATGTATGTAATGTATGTAATGTATGGAATGTATGCAATGTATGTAATGTAGGTAGTGTATGTAATGTGCGTAATGTATTGTAATGATGTAATGTGTGGTATGTGTCAGGGTCGTCCAAAAGCTCCATTTGATATCATTCAGAAAATCACTTTTAACTGTTGGAATTTAGCTCAATTTTTCTGTAGCAGCCTAAACTATTGTCTTGTATAGTGACCCAATGAAACGCACTTTTTACATCTTTTTTCAACACATTTAAATATTGAAGTCAATTACGCGCTCCAGAGCGCGTAATAATGACGCGCTCCGGAGCGCGTAACAATGACGCGCTCCGGAGCGCGTAATCCATTCAAATAAAGTTCAAAGCCATTTAGTACCAGCCTAAGCTATTGTCTCGCATGCTGATCCCATGTATTTAAATGAAACGCACTTTTTTCAACACATGTAACTACTGAAGTCAATTACGCGCTCTGGAGCGCGTAATAATTACGCGCTCCGGAGCGCGTAATTTGTTCAAATAAAGTTCAAAGCCATTTAGTAGCAGCCTAAACTATATTGTCTCGTATGGTGATCCCGTGTAATTAAATGAAACGCACTTTCTTCAACAAATGTAAATAATTAATGCTGAAGTCAATTACGCGCTCCGGAGCGCGTAATCCACTCAAACAAAGTTCAAAGCCATTTAGTACCAGCCTAGACTATTGTCTCGTATTGGTGATCCCATGTAATTGAATGAAACGTACTTTCTTCAACACATGTAAATACTGAAGTCAATTATGCGCTCCGGAGCGCGTAATCCATTCAAATAAAGTTCAAAGCCATTTAGTACCAGCCTAAGCTATTGTCTCGTATGCTGATCCCATGTAATTAAATGAAACGCACTTTTTTCAACACATGTAACTACTGAAGTCAATTACGCGCTCCGGAGCGCGTAATAATTACGCGCTCCGGAGCGCGTAATTTGTTCAAAGCCATTCAGTACCAGCCTATAGTATTGCTTCGTATATTGACCCAATGTAAGAAAAATGTACTTTATTCAATACATGTAAATACTGAAGTCAATTACACGCTCTGGAGCGCGTAATAATTACGCGCTCTCGAGCGCGTAATTTGTTCAAATAAAGTTCAAAGCCATTTACTACCAGCCTATAGGGCCTATATTATTGGACCCAATGTAAGAAACATGTGTGGATAGTCATTACGCGCTCCGAGCGCGTAATTCAAATAAAGTTCAAAGCCATTTACTACCAGCCTATAGGGCCTATATTATTGGACCCAATGTAAGAAACATGTACTTTATTCAATACATTTAAATACTAAAGTCAATTACGAGCTCCGGAGCGCGTAATCATTATGCGCCCCGGAGCGCGTAATTTGTTCAAATAAAGTTCAATGCCGTTTATTACAAGCCTAAACTATTGTCTCGCATGTTGATCCCATGTAACTAAATGAAACGTACTTTGTTCAACACATTCAAATACTGAAGGTGTAATTTACTTTAAATGGCATTCAAAACCATTTAACATCAGGCTACGGACTCCATATACCAACATCTTTGTTGGGGCCCTTGGGCTCAGATATGTTTAGATTCAGATTCATTCCGCAGCTTGATGCTACCATTACTGTGGGCATGTACATGCTCACTTTTATGAAAGCAGTAATCTACTTGTCTAAGTATGTTTTTTCAAATTGTTTATCATTTTTTGTTGGTGGGAAATGGAGACACTATAATGATAATGTCACGATTAAGTGTGGTTACATGGACTCGCCATTTTCTTCCATCTCCACTCCCTTCTATTGCCTGTTTGGCGCTGATGGTGATGTTTTGCATTTAGGGGAGGAATTGTCCCCACATGATTCCGCAGCTGGATTGGATCAGCCATCAGCTTCGATTGGCGGTGGAATCTTGGCAAAACACAAATCCACTCAATAAGGGAGTTAGGAAAAACCTAACTCCCTTGTTGAGTGATTCAAGTTGAATCACTCAAGAGGGTAGTTACGTTTTATCTCACTCCCTTGTTGGGCCCTTTGTGTTCCAATTGATGTCACCTATTCAACAAGAATGACTCAACAAGGGAGTTAGTTTTTCCTCACTCCCTTGTTGACCCGTTCAACGCGAATCACTCAACAAGGGGGTTAGGTTTTTCCCTACTACCTAATTGAGTAGATTTCACTCATTGCCTAGGATGCCCGTTCAAGAAGAATCACTCAACAGTGGGGTTCGGGCTAATCCCCGTTCAAGAAGAATCACTCAACAGTGGGGTTCCGGCCAATCCCCGTTCAAGAAGAATCACTCAACAGTGGGGTTCCGGCCAATCCCCGTTCAAGAAGAATCACTCAACAGTGGGGTTCGGGCCAATCCCCGTTCAAGAAGAATCACTCAACAGTGGGGTTCGGGCCAATCCCCGTTCAAGAAGAGCCACTAAACAATGGGGTTCGGCCAATCACCGTTCAAGAAGAATCACTCAACAGTGGGGTTCGGGCCAATCGCCGTTCAAGAAGAATCGCTCAACAGTGGGGTTCGGGCCAATCCCCGTTCAAGAAGTATCACTCAACAATGGGGTTCGGCCAATCCCCGTTCAAGAAGAATCACTGAACAGTGGGGTTCAGGCCAATCGCCGTTCAAGAAGAATCACTCAAAAGTGGGGTTCGGCCAATCGCCGTTCAAGAAGAATCACTCAAAAGTGGGGTTCGGACCAATCCCCGTTCAAGAAGAATCACTCAACAGTGGGGTTCGGGCCAATCCCCGTTCAAGAAGAATCACTCAACAGTGGGGTTCGGGCCAATCCCCGTTCAAGAAGAATCACTCAACAGTGGGGTTCGGGCCAATCGCCGTTCAAGAAGAATCACTCAACAGTGGGGTTCGGGCCAATCCCCGTTCAAGAAGAGCCACTAAACAATGGGGTTCGGCCAATCCCCGTTCAAGAAGAATCACTCAACAGTGGGGTTCAGACCAATCTCCATTCAAGAAGAACCAGTAAACAATGGGGTTCGGCCATCCCCGTTCAAGAAGAATCACTCAACAGTGGGGTTCGGGCCAATCCCCGTTCAAGAAGAATCACTCAACAGTGGGGTTCGGGTCAATCCCCGTTCAAGAAGAATCACTCAACAGTGGGGTTCGGGCCAATCCCTGTTCTAGAAGAATCACTCCCAAACTCCTACCAACTCGCCAACCTCCCTACTCCGCGTACTGGAACGCCACGACCATCCCCTCCCTTTGCTTCGAACCGGATCCTTCGACCCTCTACTCGCACCCCCTTTTTTTCTGCGCTCCTTTCCTCCCTTCAAGAAGAATTGCGCAACAAGACAATAGTTTAGGCTGGTACCAAATGACTTTGAACTTGATATGGTGAATTATGCGTTCCGGAGCGCGTAATTTATTTTAATATGTCTGTTGAATAAAGTAGGCTTCATGTCCACAATGGTTTAGGCTGGTACTAAATGGCTTTGAACTTTATTTGAATGAATTGCGCGCTGTGGAGCGCGTGATTTAGTTTAACTGTTGTTCAACAAATCGAAAGATACAGGAAGTTTCATGGATTCCATGAGGATTCCATGAGGTATAATATATTTGAGTTGATTGCGTGGCCTGGTATTCAATGGTTTTGACTATTGTTTAAAATAAATTGCACACTCTGGAGCGCATAATTTATTTGATTTCAATAAGGCCCAAAACAAATGAAAACCAGGCTAAACGATTCTCTTTGATATCAATCGGATGCAAATAAAACACAATTTACTCAACAAAAAATACTACAGCAAATAGAGTTTCATCTCGAGGAAATCCAGTTAACTTGTCACTCCAGCCAAGCCTTCATCTTTGTAAAGCACCCTTGGGTGATCGAACTAACAAAAACTCAATAGTTAATAGGGGGAGTCCGATCTGTGTGCGAAAAAGAAATCCAGCTGATTGCCATCATTTGTTTGTTTGATTTTGTTTGTGGGACTCAGAATTTGGTTTCATCATTTGATTTTCAAGAGGGTCATTTGGACAACCCTGCTGTGTGTATGAGTGTATGTATGCGTGTTTTCAGCGATTTTGCCCGCCTCAGGACTGGCCTGAAGGCATTTCCAGTGGCAGCCTGGGGCATCCTTTCCTATGCAAAGCTCCGTGCATCCGGGCGGTTCATGGAACTTGCATGAAGGGCCCCAGGTGCGAGTTCTGCCATTTGGAGCACAACCATCCGAAGCGCAAACTACGTCGACAGGAGACTAAACAACCGGTCAGGGGATGGTATTTGTTGCACCACTTGTTGAGGTTGTGGTAGTCATGTGGGCTTTCACTGCAGCCTTGTTGTGTTTGTTTCTTTCTTTTCGTTGATGCTCCGTGCCGTTTCCGTCCTTGTTGTTTCGCTTCCGGAAGTGAGATCCATGCCGTGATCTGTTTCCGGGCCCGTTTGTTCTATATAGGGGTTGTTTGAAAATTTATTGGAAGACCTCGAAATTTCATGGCTTATCATCATGTTCCCTGTGCAAGATTGCTTGATTTTATTCAATAATTATTGGCATTGGCAAAGATGGCAAAACTTTGACAAGCACTCTTTAAATGCACCGATTGAGCAAGCCCTGGTGTCAGGAAAGGCAGCGATTGGAGGAGATGCCAGAACTGCTGGTTCTGCTGATCCTCCATTGGCACATCCAGCGCCACGTCACCAATCTCCGCCTTGAAGATGATTTGCAACTTGTGTTGCTAGATGGATACACTTAGATTATATACTAGTAACTACTCCTATAGATGGTTTTAGGGTATCTGATTTATATTTTTTTGGCAGGGTGATTGTAAATACCTGGCTATGCGGTTGGTGGTGGAAAACAACTTGTTAGCAGCGTAAAAACTTACGCCACCAAGGTTGGCAGTGTTGGAACGACGTGTGAAGTTGCTGCGCGAGGCTCGGCGACCCACACATGCTGAGTTGCGTTGGGCTATGGAGAACCTGTGGACCTTGCGTGGTTTCTCCCTTGGCCGCCTGTTTGACGCTTTCCAGCTTTGGCCTCAAGTGGATTCCGACTTCAAACGTGAAGTGAAGTTCTTAGTAGACAGCGCGCGCAAGGGAATGGCCACGCCACGTGCGGCATGAGTGGAGCAGATGGACGCTTTCGGATTTGCATGGGCCGAAGCCCCACCCGGAGAGTCTGAGAGCACCCTGATGTGTCTTCCGCGAGGAATTTTTAGCATAGCTTCGGTGGTGCAGGGAAAGAGAAGGCTACTCCGGCCCCGAAATTCTCATCATCAAACGAAGCTATAGTCTGCAAACTTCCGGGTTACGGACGGATGTCCATGGTCCTCAGTCTTGTCATCATGTCACCCACAGTGGCAGCCACAGCAGTTAGTAGGTGGAAACAGGAGACGACAGTAACAGTCCGAGAGTGTGCGAATTTGCAGGTGAAACAGCCATGGAATCACTGTGTTTTATGGGTAGTTAATTATGGTGGCTCCAGGGGTCGCCAAGGGAGGGTATTTTCTTCCGCTCGACAAAATGTGTACGATATTGTAGCAAGAGCTCGATTCGCAGTTCAACATGCGAAAATATTGACTTTTGGAAGATAAGGTCAGGAAAAAATGCACAAGAATGTGGAGCGAGAACTCGATTTCGCAAAAACATGTTGAACAAATTGCCATGCACAGACTAGCGTCGGAGAAGTCCGCACTGCGTATGTTGCGCACACGTTTGTCGATTCGGTGCTATACGCTCCTGCTAGCGATTGCAACCGGGTGCGGCGAAAAAGCAGTGGTGTTGTGACGCTCCTGCTAAGCAGTTGGAAGTTTCTAAACGCATCGTAACAGCCGTGATATAAAGGCAATTGTTCAGCATAGTGCCAGTCTTGTGTTCTGCGGGATTGCAGCTGGCTTAGCCGCAGGTGGCAAAAACGCAATGTAGTGCCTGCGTGAAGACAAGAATTGGGTTACAGAAGCTATATAGAAGAAGTAGCTGAGAGAATTGTGTAGCTCAGAGCAGGAGCGGGTTGGAGAAGAAGTAGCTGAGATAAGAGGCAGACTTGAGAAGTAGCTGGAAGAATTCCCTCAGTCAGTGAAGAAGTAGCAGGCAAATAACGACAAGAAGTAATTATATAGATGTAATTAGAAGAGAGGGTGGTATACAAGCTCAGAGCAGGAGCGAGTCAGAGAAGAAGTAGCTAAGATAAGAGGCAGCTCAGTGAAGAAGTAGCTGAGCATTCCTTCATATTCCTTCCTTCGTTCGTTCGTTCGTTGTTGGTTCCTTCGTTCCTTCGTTCGTTCCTTCGTTCGTTCATTTGTTTATTCATTCATTCTTTCATTCATCCATTTGTCCATTCGTCGATTCATCCACTTATTCACTCACCCACTCACTCACTCACTCGCTCGCTCGCTCGCTCGCTCGCTCGTTCGTTCGTTCGTTCGTTCGTTCGTTCATAGTTTAAATCATTCATTCAGTCAGTCTTCAATCATTCATTCATTCAATCATTCACTCCTTCCTTCGTTCATTTGTTCATTCCTTCATTCGTTCATTCCTTCATTCGTTGGTTTGTTCATTCCTTCATTCTTTCATTCATCCACTCACTCGCTCACTCACTCACTCACCCACCCACGCACTCACTCACTCACTCACTCACTCACTCACTCACTCACTCACTCACCTCACTTACCTCACTCACTCCACTCACTCCACTCACTCCATTCACTCCACTCACTCACTCACTCACTCACTCACTCACTCACTCACTCACTCACTCACTCACTCACTCACTCACTCACTCACTGACTCACTCACTCACTCACTCACTCACTCACTCACTGACTGATTCACTGAATCACTGAATCACTGAATCACTGATTCACTGATTCACTGCTTCACTGATTTATTCATTCGTTCGTTCATTCATTCATTCATTGCATGCATGCATTCATTCATTGAATCATCCACGCATTCTTTCATTCATTCATTCGGTGATTGATTCATTCATTCATTCAGTCAGTCAGTCAGTCATTCAGTCATTCAGTCATTCAGTCATTCTGTCATTCATTCATTCATTCGTTCATTCATTCATGCATGCATGCATGCATTCATTCATTGAATCATCCAAGCATTCTTTCATTCATTCATTCGTTGATTCGTTCATTCATTCAGTCAGTCAGTTAGTCAGTCAGTCAGTCATTCAGTCATTCAGTCATTCAGTCATTCAGTCATTCAGTCAGTAATTCAGTCATTCAGTCATTCAGTCTCTCTGTCTTTCTTTCTTTCATTCGTTCAGTCATTCAATCATTCGTTCATTCAATCAATCACTTCTTGCTTCGTTCATTTGTTCATTTGTTTATCCGTTTATTCGTTCATTCCTTCATTCGTTCATTCATTCATTCATTCATTCACTCACTCACTCACTCACTCACTCACTCACTCACTGATTCACTGATTCACTGATTCACTGATTCACTGATTCACTGATTCAGTCATTCATTCATTCATTCATTCATTCATTCATTCGTTCATTCGTTCATTCATTCATTCATTCATTCATTCACTCACTCACTCACTCACTCACTCACTGATTCACTGATTCACTGATTCATTCATTCGTTCATTCATTCATTCATTCATTCATTCATTCATTCATTCATTCATTCATTCATTCATTCATTCATTCATTCATTCATTCATTGATTCATTGATTCATTGATTCATTGATTCATTCATTCATTCATTCATTCATTCATTCATTCATTCATTCATTCATTCATTCATTCATTGAATCATCCACGCATTCTTTCATTCATTCATTCGTTGATTCATTCGTTCGTTCGTTCGTTCCTTCCTTCATTCCTTCCTTCATTCATTCATTCATTCACTTTCCGGGAATGTGCCCCATTCAGTTTCATTGATTGTTTCATTCAGTTTTATCCCTTTTCATTTTTTTCATTCTTTCATTCAGTCTTTCGTTCCTTCATCCAGTCAGTCGATTGTTTCGTGTCATAGTTTTTGCTTCATGTCATCAGCATCTCCACAACCATTTGCGCATTCATTGATGCACCTTACGACATCACTCTTTCATCGCATTCGATATGCCATTGAATTTTCATAGCCATGGTTTATTTTTCGAATCTTCCGCTCCGTCGCGGCCGGGCACTATACAGGGAATGTAGTAGATATGAATACTGATGAAAACGACAAATCTCCGCTGCACACGCATAGTATGAAGAAAACCGTCTGTTGAAATCCTGGCCACACCTGACGCACACACACACATACCCGTGACGGTGCCAGGTGCCAGGTGCGGCCACATCAAGCCTGCTGCTGGTGCACAGGTCCCAGCAACGCAAGGCACCACAGCACCACTGGATGACACAGCGTGGCCATTCGCGGCATTGCCTCATATCTCCATGTCGCCCCACCAAAAGTTTATACGTAAATGAACACGAAAATCCCAAGAAACGAAAAAACAATATTTCTTTGAACTTCCCGTCTTGGCAGCAGAATTTAGTAAATTCACATGATTGATAAATATTGCATTTTGATTCATTACAACTTCATTGTCCTTTTGTGAGGAGCATGTGCACATGATTTTCACGAACTACGGATTCCCATTTGCCAGTTACTTCGCAACTAGCCCCCAAAACCCTTACGTAATTTCACCTTGCTTATTGTCAGAATTTGTAAACCCAATTGAAAACACTTTGAAGCCTGGAGTTTTCACACCAAGACCTCGAGAACAGCTAGAAAAAGCAAACGTTTATCCAGTGGCATCTGTAGTGGCCTCGGCGGTTTGCCCCTTTTGATAGGAAATTCGACATTTTCAGCTAATTATTAATTGAATGCTGCTGATTTCTGCACATGGAGTGCTGCTTGTCATTCGCTTCTGCAGTAGAATATGCTGTTGGAGTGGAGCTTTTGACATATTGGTGCCAAGAAATGACTCCAGCTGGACATGTGTTGCAATGCATTTCAGAAAACACACCAGATACAACTCCCAGCTGGAAGCGGCGCCAAGTACAGCCTTCAGCGTGATATTGCCGGCAATTGCAGGCTTGGAGGGTATATCACCCATGCTTGTTGGAGGTTTCGCGTTGTTTAATATTTTACATCCTTAATTGAATTATCTTGTGGGAATTTCAACCCAACAAGATGGGATGATGTAAATACCCTTCTTGGTTGGAGTTGGGTCAACCACCAACCAGATTGCTAGTTTGGCTTATCTCCCAGTGGCGTTTCCACAAGTCTCCCTTGGCTGCTTGTTTGACACCACAGTCCAACATGAATTGAAGTTCTTAGTGCCTACTGCGCGGGAGGGAAGGATGGATGGACCAGACGGAACGTTTTGCGACCATGGACGCCTTCGGATTTCCATGGCATTGTGTCTGGTGGGCTGAAGCCCAAAGGGTCTTGAGCATCTTGAAAGCATCCTGAGATGATGTGTCTTCCGCAAATAGATTTTCGCATCTTCTGCGCCGCTGACAACTTCTGTGGCGCAGGGGTCACAAGAGGAGATTACTCCGACTCCGTTCCCGAAATTGTCATCATATGTAGTAGATATGGATACTGATGATGCCGCTTCTTGGGGCCACAAATCTCTGCTGCACACGCATAGCAGGAAAAGAACCATCTGTTGAAATCCTGGCCACACCTGATACAGGCATAAATGCCAGGTGCAGCCACGTCAAGCGTGCTGCTGGTGCACAGGTCCCAGCAACGCAAGGCACCACAGCACCACTGGATGTCACAGCTTGCAGTTCGCGGTATTGCCTCATGAGATGTTTCCATGTCGCCCCACCAAACGTGCCAGGCAAACGGATACATGACTGGAACCAGTTTTGTAATTTTCTAAATGCTGTCTTAAAAGGTGTAGATTTTGAGCAAGTGCAAATCAACAGTGCTTCGACATTTCGAAGAAAACTATTTCGGGAGTGTTGTTGCGAGGTGCAAGCTTCTTACAAATTATCGAGGCAAGACTTGACGAAGAGTTGAAAACCGGTCGCATTCATCCAGTGGTTGTGCTGTTATGTCCTCGGCTTGGCAAAATTGAAACAGGATTTGGACCATGTTCATGCCAGTGAAGTCATGGATTTGTTTTTTGTCAAACGCTTCATAACGACCGACTTCCAGCTGGAAGCCGGAAAATGACGCATTTGGAGGGCATGCCACCTGGTTGATGGCTTTATATCTACTGTAAAAAATACATATTCATACAGATGTCTTTACCACCGGAAGTTTGGTTTTTATTCCTCCAAGAACCGCTGCTCAACTTGTTGGTGTCCACCAAGAATTCTTCATCCTTTTTGAACGTGTTCGCACCAGCCCGGACGTTTCTCCACATGCCAACAGTATATTGCATGATGGTATATGAACTTCAACTTAACTTCAAAAGGAATCAAATCCGCCAACCCCTTCTGAAAAAGTATATTGAATGGGATATTAACATATAATATATTGTTTTTAATCTTCACAAGGGATCAAATCCGCCACCCCCTCTGAACAATAGATTGAATGGGATTTTAACTTCAATCTTCATACGGGATCAAGTCGGCCACCCCCTTTGAACAGTATATTGAACGGGACATTCACTTCATTCATAGGAAGGGTTGAATATTCCCCACCCTGTCAAACTATTACGCTCAAACGGGGTTCCCCCATACCAACACATATGCTGAGACTCATCCTTTTCATATTTTTTCAATGGCGGTTGAAACCACCAATCAGATTGCTGGTTTTGCTCATCTTCGGATGGTATGTCCGGAAACACTTTACAGCGTGGCTCGAATTGTCTGCTGTGAAGTTGCTGGGAGAGACTCCCTCGCGTTCCGGTGTTTCTCCCGTAGCCGCTTAGCGATGTACATAGCACCAGATAGAACACAGTAGCAGCCACGGAAGCCGTCTGATTTCCCTGGCGTTGTCTTTGATGGAAGCCCGTGGGCCCTTGAGGGCTTGAGGGCCTTGAGCGTTCTGAGGTGATGTGTCTTCACCTCATTTCTTTTAGGATCCCTCTGTGCTGTCGACAACTTCTGTGGTGCAGAGGATCAGCAGGAGACTACACAGTCTGGTCCGAAAAAAATGCCAGGATATGTGACAGATATGCTAGGGCCGCCAATCTCTGCTTCATGTGAAGATTACCGTCACCTGCTGAACTCCTGAGGTCCCTGACCGTGATAGGTGCGGCCGACGTGGTGCTGGCGCACAAGTCCCAGCAACACAGGGTCACTAAAATCTGAAGAACGGGAAGGCGTTTCCAAGATTGGCAAGGTGGTTTACAACTGGCCGGGCTAGGGTCAATGGCAGATAGATATATCTTCTACAACCAAAGTATATCCCCCTTCCTGTGAAGCTGTGCCTGAGGGCCTGATATCTGACCACTTGGGTGCGAATTTGTAATTCATGAAACGAGCTGCGCAGTGAGCACGTTTCTGAAGGGTAGCTGCTCATTTGCCACTGAAGTCACAACGTCTTTGGGGCCTTTCGGAGCAGTGCTGTGAAGGAAAGAATCCCAGCTCTTGCAGAAGTCACATGTGCAAGGTTCAGAATGTTCAGAATGTTCAGAAACGACCCCAGGAACCGATCAAGACCTGAGAGGCGGCCACAGCCGAAGTGTTTAGACTGGAGAATTCCAAGGGAGTCTGCTTGTTGGTCCTGTTGGTTTGGAAGATTCTGCAGATTCTTCCTATCCATTCCCTCAGTTTGGGGGATAAACAAACAGCAACCAGGCTGTTTGTTTCGGAAGCTGTGTTCCCTGCTGAGGCTTCTGAAACTTTGAACCATGGCCATTTCCAGACCATGCGCGGGCCTGGAGGGGGCTGACAAGGCACTGGGCGCAAGTCAGAGTTGCTTTAGACAACCTGTTGATTTTTCCATATTTTTCCCATCTTTTGCTGGCCGAGAATTGGGGCTAGACCCCAGGACATCAGCTCCGAGGTAGAAACCCGCAAGGGGATATGGGCTTGTCTGAACATGGTGTTTCATGTGGGTTTACTATAATTTTTCCCAGATGTTGATGGTTCATCATCATGTTTTCAAATGGATATGGGCCATACATCGGACACATTCTATTTTCAGACACACCCATAGAACGGGATAAAGTGGGAATTTTGATTTACATGCCATGATATGCATATATATATATAATCACATATATCATATATTATATATATTATATACATGCAAAGGTAACAACCGCAAAAAACACAGGAAAGATCAGACATGCAAATCATCACTATTTTGGTGGGATATCGTTTTTCTATCTTTTTTGGGGTTAATGACTGGTTGGCTCACATTTTTGATTCTCCGTCTAGCGGCAAACAGATGCGAATGGAAGGTAATCCTTACTTTCACATGTTTTTTTTCACCACATATCCGGACATGAGTTCCTCACTTAAGGGGATGAAACCACTAGATAAGATGGTGACTGGAGAAGTGTAAACGGCTTGTAGCTGGGCGATGGCTTCTTGTAACTGCTAATGTGGTAAACGACACAATGGCAACAACCTCTTTCTGTTCAAATTGGTGGCTTCTTGCTGGGTTTTTGCCACACTATTGGATTATATCCCAATGAATGTGTGCTAAACGCCCCAAGGACTTTGCGGAATGAAATGGCTATCCAGCAATAACTTGGAGCCAGCCATGGCACCCAGGGTCGACCACAGCTGAGGCTGACTCCCATCGATGTGTGCGGTCAAAGTGTGGGAAACTCGGAAACTGCCCATAGGTTAACTGGTGAGAATAACTATGGTAATCTAATTCTGAAGTTATGCAGTATAACAATATAACAACCATAACTGGGGTTATCGGTAACGATGAGACATGATGAGACCAAGTTTTACAGTAACTAAGTTTGCTCTCAATCAGTATACCCCTCGAAGTCGTGAACTGATGAAGATGGGAATGAATCAAAACCTATGATTTTCCCATAGGCTATCAGGGGGATGAACATCCAGAAATCTCTGCTATTTTAGTGTTCACCTTTAGTATGCTTTGGTATCGGGTTTTGACTCCGCATTTAAGGCACAATAGGGAGGGTCCTGCTGATTTTCGAGCCACTTCAGGGAGAAATTTAAGAGGTCCAGGGGAATGCATGGAACAGCGACTGTCGATGCAGTTTTTCGGAGCTAGCCAGGCTGTGCTTAGGTATGTTTGACTTCCCCCTGTTGCCTTGATCATGTCCAGCAGTCTGGGATTCTGGGCAGCCAGAGAAATCCTCCGCAAAGTCGTCGTTTTCCAAAAGTGGACACCGGCGGCAATGCGGGTCCAGAAAAATCAGTGATACGTTCAGATCAAGGTGAAAATTGCATGATGAAACTGTAATGAGTGATCGTGGTAGTCAAATTTATCAGCATCATATGCTCTATGTACGATATGTATGGTATATTTGCCCCACATTTATTCCGCAAACCTGAAAATGAGGTAGGTATACAGGAATTTTCATGAAATACCACAGATGGGGCATGTTGCACCGCAGTTCGAACTGTTTCAGGTCGTACTATCTAGTTCAAAGTCCCTGCTGTCGGTGCCCAACGCCCTGGCTGGTGCCACTTGCTTCCGAGCGCATGATGCGCAAAAAGTCCGTTAAAACATGTTAAAACCATCGAATTTTCCGTTGCATCACAAGTAGAGTTAGGATTTTGCACCTTTGAGCATCAAGCTCTCTTATTGCGGTGTCCCAAAAACTCTGCCGGATCCCTCTTCGATCATATTCTTTTCGCCAAATTGCCCAATCCATTTTGGTTCAGAGATGCACAAAAAGAAAATATGGAGAAAGCAATGTTTTTCCAGGATTGTTTTTGGATCTCTGCAATTCAACAGGGTAGCCCAGAATTCACCGAAAAGACACAGAACTTCAGGCCAGACCCCGGAAAGACCATTGAGGACAAGTAAGAAATGTATTGCTAGTGGGAGAATACCAATGGTTTTGGGGAAAGTTAGGGTCTGATGGTATATACAAACAATTTTTCGTTGAAAGAACATAGATGTATAACATTTTATAACTATATATATATATATTATATATATATATATATATATCATATTCTCATATGATATGCACCTTTTAAGCGGCTTGCGACTCATGGATCCAGAGGCGTCAGAATTGCAGGGGAGACGTCCAAAACTGGAATCAGCCCTGTGGCAATTGAACATCCACCCTTAAAAATATGATTTTCAGCTCTAAACCTCCATGTCTAGGGGTGCCACGGGTATACGGGACATTTGTATTTAAGCCAAGACCAGGGTGTCCTGAAACATTTGAAACATGAAACGTGATCGTGGGCACAGTTTTTTTCAGAACCAGTCACGTGGATGATGAAAACATCGCGGCATGGATTGAGATTTCACCAAGTTCCACCAGGGACACCAACAAGTTTCTGGTTAAAGATCCGTTATCATGGGTCTTGGGGCAAGGTTAATTTCTTCAAGCTTCATGTGTGTCCGGACTGCGCAACAAGGAATAGCTTCGCAAGGTATGCTGGTAAACCCTCACGTAACCTTGAAACCCCTTGAAGAAAAGGAACAAATCTGCATAAATCTAAGTGTTTAAGTGACGCAAGTGTCATAGCAATTCATGCGAATTAAGCGTTTTGAGCCCTGACTAGCCATGACTTTCCGCAACGTGGAGGTGCTGCGTGCGGCGCCACGGGACAGGCCGAGCCGCTGCAGGTGATGTGTCGCAGTTTGTGTCTATACTCGCGTTGGTACTTAGGGTATCCAAGTCCTGAGAAAATGATGTGCTAATAATAATAGTAATATGATATTATATTATATTATATATATATGTATGTTTCATGTCATTACGACTTCATTTGGTTTTATGGGTGCTTGGCGGGTCTAGGGAAAACACTGATATGTAATCGTAACAATCAGCCGCTTGGCGCGGTTCCAGTTTTCTTCAAGGTTTGAATATTTCCAGATGGGGTTCCAAACGTAGAGATTTTTCAAGGGATCAGCCTCCAACTAGTTTCAGCAGGACAAGTTTTGATCAGAACTTGAGGTTGAACATCTAGAATTGACACAGCTGCGCAGCCGATTTTCCAAGGACTCACAGGCAAGTTTTCGCATACCTTCTCAGCATGTCCAGCTTGGAGTGTCTTGGTTTTATGTTTGAAAGGTTGGGGGGCAAACTGGGTAAACCGGTCAACCTTAGTTTGGTAGCTTTGCATATTTGTCGAATGTATACCTTCCACTGTGCAGTCAGGCTTGGGCCCCTGGTACCAACAGGCAACACTATAGTCACTATACTTGTCTCGCAGGCCACCTGCGGCTCATGTAAGCTACAGCTACAGTAATTTACAGGGAGAAAGTGTCTCTCCCAGGCCGGGTAAAAACAAGGCAATGCGCGAACCATGTGGTCAAAACACGATTGCGCAGTGATGTCGGGCCACGAGGTGAGCCACCTGACCTCATCGTTTTGCGCCCTAACGACGAAAAATTCGCGTGTTCATTTCAGCCAGCTCATGCCACCATGTATGCAGGACCACATGTTGCCCCAAACATATCACAATAAAATCTGCACCTCGCACATGAGCCACAGCACATGAAGAGCCCATGCCAGCGTTCGCTGTTCGAGCATCACAGGATGTAAATGTAAACGTATCGCTGCGGCTGTTGTTCTGTGCGCTGTTGCCTTTTGTTCCTGTGCCATGCTTGGAGTCTCCCAAAAAATTTCTTTGCTGCCACTGCCGCTCAACATTTTTGGTCGGTTGCTGAGAGGTTGCTAAAACACATGTAATAGCTATGGTAAGCATTCTTTGGGCCCTAAAGCCAAGCGCATGAGAATGGCTGGATCGTATTGATATGGCTGGCCAAGATTGCGCCAATTCATTGCTGCCGAGCAATTGCGTGCAAAGCGGAGATCAAAGACAAGACGAAGAGCTCAAAGAAGCGGTAGCTCAAAGGAGATGCAACTAAGGACAGCAGAGCAGAGCTAGCTCGAAGAAGTGGGGTCTCAGAGAAAGTCTCGAGGGTGAAGATAGCTCCGACGGAGAGGGAGTAGCTGAAAGAAGAGAAACCATGCAAAGAACAGGTGTTCGGCGAAGAAAGCGCCCAGAGAAGATGGTGGTGAAGGAAGAGACGGCTGGGGCGAGAGCGACAGCTCAGAAAAGAGCAAACCCAAAACGTAAGGGAAAACCCAAAGAAGAAAGAGGTGGAAACATGATAGAGCAGATGAGGTAGCTCCCGACTGAGGTGCTTATGGTTCTTATGGAGAAATGTAGCGCCAATAGAGGTATTGAGACAAGGTGAGGGGTAGCTCAGAGAAGGTATTTGAGTGAAGATCTAGGTCAAAGCAACATTTGCCCGGTTTATCATTTTGCCATTACGTTTTTCTGCGGCAGATTCAGCCATTTAACCATTTCTTCGTTCCGTCATTTAATCAATCCAAAACTCCTATCATATTGTATCCTTCAACAACCCTTCCTATAGGCCCTTCTCGTCCCACAGGCATGGTGTATTTTCAAAACCCTTGATTTGTTGCTGACATGAGGTCTATAGTGTTTGCATGCACATGCAATTTTATGCAGCTCCGCAAATTGCGATTTCCCTGCGGAAAATGCTCAGTTGAGTCTAGAAATTCTATGAAATTCTCATCTCAGATATTCCTAGCTGGGCCTTTCAGGTGCCGAAACACCTTCCTGGAGGTGGTTCCTAGCAGCTCTTGGTTCCCGCAACGGCGATCTCAGAGCTGCGAGGCCGTCGACCGCTTCGCAGACGTGCCTGGGATATCCAGATGGATCTGGATGGATCTATGGATCTAATGGGAATGTCATGGGTTTTAGTAGGCTTTGAAAGGAACAGCATGGGAGTATGATGAGATATACTGGGATTTATCCTCTCTTAAATTCACATTGCGAAGTGGAAAATCACCATTTTTTCCATAGGTAAATCAACGGACCAAGCAGCCATGTTCAATAGCTATGTTAGATCTCCGGAGAGTAAGCGTTCGGAACATTTTTAAGACCTTGGAAAAATACGGAAGACATATTAGGGGTGGTCCAAAATTCAGCCCAATGTCAGCAATTTCACTAGGTCAAACTTGGATCAAATGTCAACAAAAAATATTGGGCGTTGCCCAAGAGTTTGAAATTGGATCAACGTCCGAACATGTACGAAACAGTAAGAATGATAGTTACTATACGTACTATTACTTACTATTTGGATGGCGGCCGCCCAGAAATGTCCATGCGTACTCAAAAACATCCGTGGACGTGGTTGGTAGTGACCCCTAGCAGAAGATGGGTGAATGCTAAAATGATGGATCTTGTGAATGCTATCTATTTGGCCGCAGTGCAGTATATTCATGTCTGCAGACTTAGTTTGTGAGTCAGTGAGTGACCATTTTACGCCGTTATAACATGTTCTAGCCGCATGGGCCCGAGGTTGAAAGTTAGACACAGCACAACACCCCGAGGTTTTGCTCATTTGGGGATCAGTTTAAAGGCAAACGGTCGCCTCACGTGGATGACCTTGCTAATGTTATCAAGACTTCTTCATCCAGGAGTGTTAGTTACTTAAGTGCTAGCTGCTAGAGGGCTTAGGGAGATTTCAAGAATATATGGTACGGTACAGTTGGTACAAGTGTTTTCCCTGGTAAGTACCGTTGGTATGGTTGGTTGGTACGGTTTGTACGGTTGTTTGGTACGGTTGGTACGGTTGGTACGGTTGGTACGGTTGGTTGGTACGGTTGGTGCGGTTGGTTGGTACGGTTGGTACGGTGGGTACGGTTGGTTTGTACGGTTGTTTGGTGTGGTTGTTTGGTACGGTTGGTACGGTTGGTACGGTTGGTACGGTGGGTACGGTTGGTACGGTTGGTACGGTACATTTGGTACGCTTGGGTATGTTTGGGACGACGGTGCGGTTGATGCGGTGTATGTTTGTCACGCTTGGTAAGCTTGGTAAGGTGCCGTTGGTAGGTTTCGTGCGCTTTGATAGGTGCGGTCGTTAAGCTTGATAAGCACAGTAGGTACAGTATAATTACGTTTGGTGTCGGAGCTGTTCGTTGGTTTGCTTGGTACATTTGGCACTCTTGGTTTGCTACATGTCGTACGCGTTGTAGGCGCGGTGGTGGTACGCTTGGTGCAGTGCAGGTTCTACATGAGTCTACATGCGTTTTTTGTTTTTTGATGTGACACGGTCGGTACATATGCGTTTATTAAAGCAGCGCAGGTTGTGATGTATCTGCGTGCAATTTGGCAAAGGCATGTGCTTCATAATTTTGCTGATAACTGCTTCCTGTTGCATAGCTTGCTTAAAGCTCAGAGAATGCGTTGGTGTAGAAAGTATAGTATAGGCATGTCCTTGAAACTTGAAACTGTGAGATCAGTTTTTGACAAAGACAACTGAAACCAACTTGCTAATGATGTTCCTTGTTCACCTCGATCCAAAGCAGCTTAGTGCATGTTAGAAAGCATGAAACGAAAATCGGCAAAACATTCGCCAGGAATGAAGAAGACCCGTCGGCTCAAGAGCGGTAAATGGAACGACTTGACTGATATGCGTTGGAGGAAGTTAGGGGGTAGTGGAAGGATTTTTTGGGGACAATTTTCCGTCGGAAGTTCTCTCACCATTCTCAGGGAAGAGTGGTTTGCCGTCCTGGTGAAAGAGCGCCCGGTATTGGAACGGCCAGGTATCACTGTCATTGGAGAGGTGATTGGGGCCGAGTCAGATGGCCTACTAAAGGAGGCACTCGATGGCATGGTGGCTGGGGGAGTGCATCTGTGCCCCGAGGATCCCTGTCCATTGGCCTTCGATGGAACTATAGGGATTCATGCCACTCGCGTGAGGTCCTGGGCACTCCAGAAGTTCGCGGCCGACTACTTGAGTCGGAGTGGGAAGGCCGCCCTCAAGAAGGCCATCCGACGCTGTCAAGCCCCCTTCAGATGGCCGGCGTGCTGCGGCAGCTCCCAAGCGCTCAAGGGCGCCAGCCAAGGTGCCTTCCAAGCGAAAGCGCCCAGCCGCTGCTGGAGAGCGGGTGTCCCCTCGGATGGCGAAGAGCTGGATGGCGAGGCAGATGCTACTGGTCCCGACAGAGCAGCTCTGCGCGACAAGCTCAGGGAGACCCGGGAGAGAATCATAGGGTCGACCACCCCCCTTGGAGCGCGACGCCGGTGCGACTCGTGGGTTAGAGGGTCTCCTCCCGCCCGGCTGGTGGCTGGGACCTCTCTGTCTCCTGACCAGTCCACCCCGCTGGCATTGGCGCCATTGGCGCCATTGGCGGGTACAAGAGACGCCGGGGAGAAGAACTTGACGATCCGATGCCGCCTCTCGTTTGCTGGCTCAAGGCGTGCGGCGTGCAGACAAATCAACAAGCCAGCAAGCGGCGCAAGGACAAGAAGGACAAGGGAAAGAACGACGGAGTGAAGGCCCTGCTCGACCTTTTGCAGGGCAAGAAGAAAAGGAAAAAGAAGAAGAAGAGAGATCGCAAGTCAGATCGCGATCAGGATGGACCTTCTTGGAGGCTCGGAGTCAAGCCGGATCCAGACGATTCAGGCAGATCAGACTCCAGTGGTTCCTCAGGAGCTTCGGAAGCTCAAGCAGATCAAGGAAGCGCCGGCATCAAGACTCCAGCGACGAGGACAGCGAGCTGAGCATCGAACCTCCTCTACGTCGCAGAGCAGCCAAAGAACCGGGCTCGGTCATGGCCATGTTGGTCAAACATGCCCAAGACCAGCTGGACAAGGGCACCTTGTTGGAAACAGAAGGAGCTTATTCTGCAGGGATCACTTTGGGGGTGGAGATCTCCACGTTCTTCGCCCTTCTCATACGACCGTTCTATACCCAGCGTCGAATGCCGTGATCAGGGAGCTGTATGCCTTAGGGCAAACGACAGACCTGCTCAGAGCAGGCAAGCTTCCCGAGGCAGCCATCGCAGTTCATTTGGCCGAAGACGGTTGGGGCACCGCAGCCCAATTGGAGACGTACCCGCTGGAACCAGTCCAGGCGGCCTCCACAGGCACCATGAATCATGCTCCAAGCACAGAAGCATCGGCGCTTGGTCCAGAAGAGTCAAGGGATGTACCCCTCGCGCTGGGGAGAGGGAGGCGCCGGCAAAGGCAAGGGCGCCCCCTGGACCGAAAAAGGGCGCAAGGGCGACCCCAAAGGACGAGGAAAGGGAAAAGGCCGTGGTGCTGGGAAGGACCCAGGAGCATCAAAGAAGGGAGAAGAGAATCCTTGGAAGGAATCTCACGAGACAGCATCCAATAATTAATTCCTGCAACAAGGTGGATGGTCAACACCGCTGGCAAAGCCCAGGCGTGAGGTGGCCGCTTCCTGTGAGTCGGAGGCACTGAATTCGATTGGAGCTGGGACTGGTGGCATCGCTGGTGGAAACCGGGCCGTTGCCGTCTAGCCTGAGGAGACTTCATGAGTTTTTGGAGCTTGTGGCCCAATACGGTCAGGATTTTGGCATGACTGGTCGGGCCCTCCTATAAAATGTTTTTACGGTTTCCCAAGCTAGAGCAGGGGACGGAGGTTTCGGCTGTGTTGAGGGCCACTCTCATGGGCAAAGCAAGCCCTTCTCTGCCATGCACCGAAACTGGACCACACGGAACCGGCCTCTTTTGCCGCTGCCCTTACAGGAGGTTTCACAACTTTATGATTTGGTCGCGATGACCCCTGTGGAAAGTTTCTGCCAACCGCATTTTGCGGATATTGCAGATGAGGACATTTGGACGGCCTTGAGCATCCTGGCATGCAATCAATGCGTGTGCTGGCTATGGCCGTGCGTCATTGCAGAGAAAGCCGTCTGCTGCGCAGCTGACAGCCCTGCAGGCTGTGCGGCAATGTGTCCGTAGGGCCCCGCCAGGAGGTCCGAACTTAGCTCGCAAGCTGAAAAAGAATTGTCTTTGCGCTACCTGACCTATACCGGAGAAGAGGTCCCAAAGATGCGGATCATTAGGGTCAAGCAAGTCCTTCTGGCCTTACACAGGAATTGCATGGTGGTTCGATGCTGGAGATCTGGTTTGTGAGGGAACTCGTCGATGGTTTCTTGATCACCCTGAGGAAAGCCTTTTGGATGTTCCAGTGGATGGGGTCAGGCTTCAGGCGAAGGTACATGTCGAGAATGATGAGGCCCTGGCATTATGTCAATTGCTGGTTCAACGAAACATTTGTTCATGGATCCCCGATGATGAGGTACTTACTGTGCAGGGTCAGAAAGTTCTGAGTGGAATGTTTGCAGTTGGACAGGGGACATTTTTGGAAGGTGGTGATGAAGTTCAACGGCTGATCATGAATCTCATTCCCAATAATGCCTGCTTCAAGCACTCACAAGGGGGCACTGCTGATCTTCCTTCTATTACTCAATATTTTGGGCTGGTTTTGGATCGAAGTGACCGTCTGGTGTACTTTCAAAGCGACATGACATCTGCGTTTTACTTGTTTAAGATCCCAGTCTGCTGTTCCAAGATGATGGCTTTTAGCAATAATTGCTTTCAAGGGGGAAGATTTTGCATTACAACATGGTGTGGAGCAGTGCTGTATCTGTCATGCAACAGATAGCTGAACGTCTCACTACAATTGCCAGACTTCCCCTGTCCCATCGGGTGCGGCGTAGGGCGGCGCTGCCCTCATGGCTGACTAGCACTTGCGAAGAGGCTGTGGCGCCTGGCCGTGCCTGGTACCATGTATATCTCGACAACTTCTGTGCCATGCAGAGTAGTTGGTGAGGAGCCGGCTGAATCAAGTCGGTCCGGCAGGTTTATGGCTTCACCTTTAAGGTGAAGTATGTGGCGGAAAATGTAGCCAGCATGGACGCAGAGGCTGAACAGGAAATCATTGAGGCGCTGGGCACTAAGCCGTGGCGTCTCGACCCAACTGATGCCGTGCCTATACATAGGCCTTGGTTTTGCTGGACCAAGGACGATCTGGAACCTATGGATGGAGCTGAAGTCAGGGAAAAGGACGACTGCGCCACGAGTATCCTGAATTAGTGCCAATGGATGGAGCCAGATGCTGTTTGGCCAGGGTATGCTGAAAATGCAGTGCTGCCCACATGCATGAAAGCCATTAGGCGCAGCCGCCCTCCAATCCGGCCGGCAGGCCTGGACAGGATAGATGATGATGGTCGGTTGCGCTGGGAGGCGGATGAATACAGGTTCCCTCTGTACCAGTAGGATCAGCGATTCATCTTTTGGGTGCAAAACAAGTGGCGCTTAGCATCTGCGTCAGAGCGGGAACTCCTTCATGGTTTGGGGTATGACCATACAAGTCTGTGTTGTTCTTTTGCTTTTGTGGCTGCTATGTTGTGCAAGAGCTGGGTTGTTCTTAACCACTGCCATAAAGTGTGGGTTCGTATGGGTATGGCACCAGGGTTTTGCAGCCCCTTGCAAGTGGAAGCCCCTCTACAAAGGAAACTATGCTACGGGAACACCTCACGTGACTTGCCAGTGTCCGCAATCCATGGCTCATTACTTTGTAGGGTAAGCCACACGGGCTCAGATGTTAGGATACATCTGGCACTGTTCTGAATCCAAAAGCATTTCCACGTCAGAGTTGTTGTTCTTTCTGGTGGGAATGGAAAAAGGTTTTCGCTTCTAAATGGACCAAGAATGATCACATCAACTCCCTTGAATTACGGGCAATTTTGCAGGCATGAGAATCTTCCACCTTACAGATTCTTATGTTTGCATGAGCATAGCGCGTCAAAGGGGCGATGGGCCTCCCGCATGTTGAAGCCGCTGTTGGCCAGACTGGCGGCTACCTTGCTGGCCTGAGATGTGTACCTCGTGATTGTGCACGTCGAGAGCAGCGAAAATCCCACGACGATGCCAGTCGTTCCTAGTGGATGGCCAGGACAAGCCTCTCGGCTGGATCGCCGCCGTGCCAGAGAGGCCATTGTCTTGGAAGAGGTTGGCATTACGGCAGCAACCTTGGAGCGCTATTACACGGCCGTTGCTCGTATGCTGCCAATCTTGGATGATGTTATGACTGAAGTCAGCTTGGATGAAGCCATTGCTGACTGGATACAGGAAGAGTTTTCAGACGGTTCACCTCTCCACCTTACTGGAGATGCTTTGTCAGGAATTCATCACCTCGAGCCCTCGACACGCCGCAAATTGCCGAAGGCTTGGAGGCTTTACAGTATCTGGCGTCGATACAAAGTGCCTTGCAGGGCACCCCGCCTGACGCAAGACATCACCCTTCCGATGGCTGGGTGGTGTATCGAAGCCCAAGAGCTTACCATTGGAGCTTTGCTAGCGGCTTCTAGGGTTTCACTGCCTTTTACGCACTGGAGAAATCCTTCAGGTCAGACCGTGTGACTTCTTGCTCCAACCACATCAGGGGTTGGTCTCCTTGCCAAGTAGCAAGAGTGGAGTCCGAAATAATGCAAGGGAGAGCGTTTCAATCACAGACCCTTGCACTTTGGAGCTGGTACAAGCGATGGTGACGCTTAAAGGTCAGCAACAGCGGCACTATTTGCCTTGCTGGCATGAGAGTGGGTCAGCTTTCAGAACCTTGTTCCGGAAGATGCTTGTGCAGCTGGATCTTTCCGAGCTGCAATTCCAGCCCTACAGCCTCAGGAGAGGTGGAGCAACTTTTGAGATGCAGTCACATCGGTTGATGGAGAAGACTTTTTACTACGTGGCAGATGGTGAAACTCTGGTGTGGCCCGAATTTATTTGTGTGACGGACTTTCCGTTCTACCTTCTTTGAAAATGAGTTTGGAGGCCAAGCACCTTGTCGCCAGGTTTTCATCGATTTTCTTCTTCCCACCGTTGTTTTGACGGTGGGAAGCGTGGAACAAAGTGGAAACAGCGACAGCTTTGAAGAAGTTTTGGTGTCTTGATCCTGCCATGGATCTTTGGTTGGAACAGGCTGGTGTTGCACCGTGCCTGGTGTCCTGCCATGGGCACTGTAACAGTATGAGCTCTGCCATGAGCTTGGTTGAGGCTCTACCATGAGCCAGTTGCATGGAAGTGCTGTGGCACTTCTTTCATTGTTTGGTTCCGTGGCATGAACCTTTTGCCATGGTTGCAAGACCATGGCAGCAAAATGGAACGCCTGCTTGAGCCCAAAGAAGTCGCTTCGACTGTTTGGGCGAATGCCAGTGTAATGGTGATGCCTGTGTGGGAAGCTGTCTGGCTCCCAACCCATCCCACCCTTTGCAGGGCAGCGGAAACAGCGACAGCTTTGAAGAAGTTTTGGTGTCTTGATCCTGCCATGGATCTTTGGTTGGAACAGGCTGGTGTTGCACCGCGCCTAGCCACTATAACAGTATGAGCTCTGCCATGAGCTTGGGTGAGGCTCTACCATGAGCCAGTTGCATGGAAGTGCTGTGGCACTTGTTTCATTGTTTGGTTCCATGGCATCAACTTTTTGCCATGGTTGCAAGACAATAGTGCATGGCAGCAAAATGGAACGCCTGCTTGAGCCCAACAAAAAAACCCACTGTTGGGTATGCAAATGAAATTATCAAAGCTAGCCATTCCAAAGAAAGCCAATAGCCCAAAGGACACTAGCTCATGGTGCTTAGTTGCTTTTTGATTGAAGAATGTTATCCCATTGAATTTGTGCTGCAACCCCACCTGGTTGGATCCATCCAAGTCCCTGACCTGATTTGCACTTAGGCACCAACCTTCCTGAGGAAAAGTGCTCTTGTGGATGAGGCCAAATCTTGTGGTTGTTGTTTTCTGTGCCACAATATGCATTTCACAAAACAATTCAACAACTGTAAAGGCAGCCTTTGCCCATACACATTCCTCAGGGCAGTGGTCTCTGTAATGGTATATGTATGGATCTATAATGGCTCCTGTTTCCCAGAAACAATCCCCAGAGGAATGGTCCCTACAATGGTTTGCTTTGCCCATAAACATTTCTCATAGCAATGGTGTCTATAATGGTTCCTTTTTGCCCATAAACACTCCTCAGAGGAGTGATGTCTATGATGGTTCCTGTTTCCCATAAACACTCCCCAGAGGAATGGTCCCTACAATGGTTTGCTTTGCCCAGAAACAAATTTCTCAGAGAAATGATGTCTATAATGGTTCCTTTTGCCCAAAAACACTCCTCAGAGGAGTGATGTCTATGATTGTCCTCCATAAACACTCCCCAGAGGAATGGTCCCTACAATGGTTTGCTTTGCCCATAAATATATTTCTCAGAGCAATGGTGTCTATAATGGTTCATTTTTGCCCATAAGCACTTCTCAGAGGAGTGATGTCTATAATGGTTCCTGTTTTCCACAAACTCTCCCCAGAGGATTGTTTCCTAATGGCTTTCTTTGCCCACCAACACTCCTAGGAAGAATGGTGTGCCGCTATAGCCACTATTCACATTCACTGCAGACAACTCACAACTCACAACTGGCTATACTACTTTGGGTACTGGTTGCCCATCGCCCGCTCACCACCCACTGCCCACTTCTCACTACTAACTACCTACCAGCTACTAGCTACAAGACTTTTCGCTACCAACTTCTGACTAAGAACTTCTTGCTATCCACTGCACCCTTCTCACTACTAGCTAATATACTTCCTAGCTACTGACTACTTCCTACTTACAAGTAGCAGGGCAACTACTGAATACTAAATGCTAGCTACTTTTACTGCTATCACTAACTGCCAACCACTTGCTACATGAATATGTAGGAGAATCAAGGTTGTTTTTTGGGTTCCAAAAAGGTCACTCGAAGAGTGAAAAAATGAGCACCTCGTTTTGAGGCATTTCCACATGCTACCAGCTACTTGCTATTCACTACCCACCACCCCCTACCCATTGCTCAATGTTCAACTACTGGCTACTCACTACTAAGTACTGGCTACTCACTACTATCTACTAACTATATCCTTTACTTAGCACAGGCAAGGTGAATTGGCTAACCTCCAACTACTGACCATTTATTACTCGCTACTGTAACTCCTGGCTATTCACTGCCAACTGGCTACTAACTAGAGTAGGCAAAATATGGAGTTCCAAGGGGACATGCAGATACCAAAATTACTTGAGCCAAAGGACCAAGTCTTTGTAGTCTTGCATCTTGCCCCTGGGGTAGGCCAGAAACCTGAGCTGCACTACAGCTCACAGCTTCCAGCTGCTGCAGGCTGGCAATGCTAAGAATGATTTCTACAATCTTGAGCACGCTTGAGAAATTAAGACAGCAACAAGTTGTCCAATCATGTGTGACAGCCAAGCGTCAGCTTCAAATTTTGGCTCCAGCAGCATCCAGCCACAAAATGCCTGCTATATATATTGAGCAATGGAGAAGTGGCAGGCTTCTCTTTGAAAGAATATGGGTGGCCGGCTTCTGGAGAGTGGTGTGGACATCCCAGCAATGGAAGCATACTAAATGCAGGCATATCCAAAACATTTTGAGAAACATGCGGCTCAATGTTTCGAAGAAGAGAAACAAAGTCAGAAGATCCTTCAAGAAGTGCCAAAAGGCAAAGCACAGCTGAACCTAGTACAGCAGTTGCTCTCTGTACAGCCATGAGTTATTTCCTTTCCAGGGGCATTGTGCGCTTGGACACCAATGATACAAAAATAAAGATGGAAATTTTGATGCCACGCTTTTCAATTTCTGAGAGCATCGTCCAAGATGATGCACTAGGAAGTTGACACCACAGAAAAAGTTCTCTGAGCAAAAGAAATCCATACCTGATTCTGTGTGGATGCTGGGGTAAATGCATTGTTGCTTTCAAGCCTGGTGGTGTGCAATGCCCACAATGTTTGAACACCCTGGACAGGACAGCTTCACCCAGAACCTGTACAAGGATGGCAGCAGCAATTGCTGCTTTCCAGCTTGCAAAGCTGTTGGCCCATGTAGCTGGGAGCTCTGCCTGCTGGGCCAGAGCAGTCAAGACACTTTTGGACAAGGATCTCCTGAGAGGAGATCCTTGCATGCCACATTTTTTTGAAAATATGTCTTCTGAAGAAGACCTTTGCCTAAAATGCGTGTTTAAAATGCTTGAACAATTGCTTTTTTTACATAGTATATTATGGTTGGAGAGCATGGCTTGCAACACGAATGCTTCTTCACAACGCTTTGACAAAAAGTATAGTTTTTTGAGATCCTAAGGGGTAGTTTTTTTTTGCAAAGTGTGCATTGCACGCGATTTTTGCTTTACATTCCAAACCTTTCCAGCTTCTTTCCAAATACCTTTGGTTGCAAGCTGATTTTCTTCAAAGTGAAAAGGAGGCAATATTGGAAACGTTTCCAGCTAGAAATTTTTCAAAAGAGGTAGCTAATCAAAATTCAAAAAGTCATATTTTAACGTTAAACTAGAAAATAACACTAAAACCTAGATTGCTTAATTAAGCAATCCAAAATTGCTCCTCCTAGATTGCTTACATAGGATTGCTTAATTAAGCAATCTTCTTATTTAAGCAATCTAGGAAGTTCTGGGGCAGGGAAGCAAGGGAATCGGGGTGAGCCGCCCGGGACTTGTGAGCTGCATTGCTCATTCCGCGAATGTAGTGCCTTGATTCTTTCTACAAACTTGAACTACAAAGATGGACAAATAGGAATTATAGATTGGCGCTTGGTTTCGATTGGTGAGCAGTAGCAGGGTGATTTTTTGCATCATGATATATAGTCTTTCCGAGTACCTATATTTGAAGAACCATATGTTTGGTATCGTCGACTTCGCGACACGCTATGTTTTCCTTTGACCCGTGCCAAATCCAAGTCCATGGCCCAAAAGTCGATATACATATATATATTCATATATATGTAATTATATATATATATACACATACGCCTACCGTACTTGCCCGTTGCACCACGCGCACATTTCCAAATCTAGTGTAGCAAGCGTGCAAAGAAAATATGCACGCCAAGGGCACCAAGGTATTGAGCGTGCTGTGCCAATGTCACCGTACTTCCGCCAACCTCCCAACCATACCGTTGTAAGCAGCGTACCATTTGCACCGTACCAATCGTACCAACTTACCAAGCGTACAAAGCGTACCAACCGTACCGTACCAAGCGTACCAACCGTACCAAGCCTACCGTACCTGGTTTCTAGGGGGATATCAAGCACCTATCTTGGACCTAGATCATATAGTATAGTTATACCCCTGACTCCTTGAGATTTGTCTGGTGACTGGGCCCCTGGTTCCATAGAAACCAGCACTGTGCTGAGGTATACATAGGAACCATGACAAAATTATGATTCTGTTGATGACGGCCTGAAATAAAAACTTGAGGCAAAGCAAATAATCTGGCTGACAAATGCGCTGAGCTTTTCTCCCGGTTCCACCCCTGTTCCCATGACTCGACACCTTTTCTCTTGGTTCCGCCCTGTTTCAGCGGATTCTAACGGATGTTCCGTATCATGACCTTTTGCGGACGGGTTGAACCTGCAGCGTTCAGGACATGTATCCTGAACTGTGGTGCCTGGTTCGGGTTCCAAAGTCTGTCTGTGAGCCTGGCAAGTTCCTCATGTACAGGGAACTGGACACGTCTTCTACAGTCTACCTATAGGTCTTCAAAAGATCAAGAACTTCTGGTCAACCCCTATATAGTGTTCTACTTTTTCTGGACGCTAATTCCAAAAGTAGACGTTTTGGTCGATATCTCCAAACACCGGTCATGAACTTTTTGCCCTCAACTGCAACCTTGAATTTTCTGTCACTCCCCAACCCCCCGCATTGATTATAAAATTTGGTCCTGGAAAACGCCTGGAGTTTCAAATGCTCTCCCACAAAATAGGTCGCGCACCCCAATCCGCATGGTGATGTGCACACACACACACGAACAGTGTTCAAACTTGCCTGCAAAAAAAGGCAGGATGCTCAAATTTTCCGATTTGTTAGCATATTGTCTTAAACATTCCAAAAACAAGGTGACCTAGTTTTTGGGATTTGTAGGCGTTTGATGGTTTTTGTAGTCGTTTGAAGCTTTTGGAACGAGTTTTGAAAGTTTTTGTAGGTGCGAACTTTCCTCATAAAACGTTCGCATCGCGCACTCACACACATGAACATAATCTAAGAAACGGTGAGCCAAAGAGTCTGTCAATGACACTTCAAAGCCGATTGACCAGCTAAGATGGCTGGTCAGAGTGTAGCGTTTCGATTTTATTCGCTTATGGTGGATTGATAGAGGGTAGGTGGTGGTTGACCCTGTCGATTTGGGGCCACTTGTCATTGCATCATTTATATAGTTTATCCATGGACCACATTAGAACACTCAACTGAAACAGGATTGGATGATGTTGAATGTGTAACATGTTTATGCAGCATGAAATGAAACCAGGGAAATCATATAGGTAAACTGCGAAAGGGCCGATCTCTCAAAAAGAAGTCAACAACCTAGTCTCCCAGAAAAAATGTTATGAACGGAGACCTAGGTACATATAACAGATAAACCTATTGGTGACAATTATCTAAATTGCTTTGATTTCTAATCCAGAATTGCTGCCAGTATACCATCCATTGATCCAACATAGCCCCTCTGCTCCCATGCCAGCCCAGGAGTTCCTGGACACGAGGGCAGATGATCTACTGCGTAGAGCCGCTGGCGCGTATGCTTGGCAATCCGTACCTTCGCAGAGAGCTCGCGATGTGCATCCCCGTATTGTGCTTGAGAAAAGCCCGACATAACTGCAAGGTGGTGCCCCATTTTTTTTAAAGTAAAGTTGGTTCAAATAACTCCTGTCAAGTTCACGCCGTGAACAGAGTGGATGTTGCGACTGATGTCGCCATATGGCTGTCAGGGTGGGATCTGACCGGGGTGCCGATGAGCTAAATAGGCGCAACGCCTCTTCCTTAAGTGGGTAACTTGGTTGAAGGGATCCAAAGACCTCGGAAGCTTTGGGGATAACTTGTTGTTGGTAGCGGTGGCTGGTTTGATTGGTTGCCAAATAGGCAATAGGTCCTCTGAGGCACCACCCTGTTTGCAGCAATGCCGACAGCTGATGGTGCTGCAGCTGGTGGTGACGAGCCTTTTACAGCAAAGGCTGACAACTTCGTGCCGACCTTCTCCGGCAAGCAAGTGGACTACAAGGAGTTCAGACGCCGATGTGACATCTACGCTGCAAAGATGAAGCTGGCCAAGAGAGACAACGAGACGGTCTTCAACATTGTCACGTCGTTGAAGGGCCAAGCATGGGATTGCATCGAAGGTTGTGCGGACAACCATCGAGGACTTCTCCAAGGACACGGCCTACAAGATTGTGCCTTCAAGTTTGACCGGAGCTGCCTGCAGACTTCGAGGCGTAGCTTCCTGAAGCTTCAGCGGAAGGGCGGTCAAAGAGTTCTTCAGCAGTATATACCAGGCCGATTACATGCACGTGGAGAGACGCCTGACCTCTGAGTCAGTCCACAAGCTAGCATTGCCCGAGAAGGTGAGGGCATGGTGGTTTCTGAGAAGAAGGCCCAACAAAAGACCAATGGCAACTTGTGCTGACGCAGTTGGGAGAGGATGGATTGACCCTTGATCGGGTGATGAAATCGATGAACTTCATCATTGGCCAAGACAGCAAACTGGAGTCATCTGCCTCAGGGCAACACCACCTGCAAGGCTGCCTACCTGGCCGACGATGATGATGCTGATGAAGATTCCCAGTTTTGGGATGATGATGCATACTGCGATGAGTTTCACATCAACGCCCAGGAGGAGTACATACTACTATGACCCTGACGAGAAGGTGGACACCGACGCCACCTACAACGTTGAGGAGTATGACAACATCTTTGCGTCCTATATCGAGGCCAAGCACCAGCTCAACAAGCTTCGCACTTCAAGGGGATTTTTCCCTGTGGTTGCAATGGTTCAGAACCCATCAGCGATGGCAAGGGAGCCAAGTCTGGGGGCAAGTCAAAAGCCCGTGGCAAGGGCAAAGGAAAGCCCTTTGGAAAGAGCCCACCTCAGAAGGGTTCGGCAAAGTCTCGTGCCGAAGCTGCTCTTGGGAAATCGCTGTGCTTGCGCTGTGGCCAGTCTGGTCACCGAGCAAAAGACTGTCCAGCTAGCTCTGCTGACAGCACGAAGCGCAAGGCCGACAACGCGGAAGCCTCCCTAAACAAGAGAGTGGCCATCGAAGGCTTAGTCATCAAGGACTTCATCAGGCAACTACATGCACAACTACGTTGGGCCTCAAGACAAGTGTCCAATGAGATGACAAAGCTGGCAACGCGCCAACACATGGTGGATGTCCCCAAGTCCGGCTATATCCAGCTGATCGCCGACAGCAACTATCAAGCTGGAAAGAAGCAACCTGCTGCTGAGCGCGAAGCTTCGAGACTGGAAACTACGTCCAGCATCGCTGCTGCCGCCGTGGCTCTGGTGACTGCAGAATGCATCAAGGGCTCAGCTACCAGTGATGATGGTGACTACAAGATTGACTTCGTCTTCTTGCTGACCATTTTCATCATGCTTGTCTTCCCCTGGCGATCGGGCTCTGGCATTGGTGCAGAAGATCTACTTCGTGTACACCGTCTACAGCCTCAACATCCGAAGATGCTGGCGAAGAAGCTGTGACCAGAACTGAAGCTGAAGTCCAAACCGAGTTCAGCTGGTATGACATGAAGGCCCCGCAGGACCAATACATCCAAGCTGGCATCTACTTGGATCACTACAAGCAGGAGATCGAAGACCTTCACTGCAATGGTGAACCGGTGAACCACCAGAATGAAGTGGAGAAGGGAACCTTTGAGGTGATGGATCGAGTGTCCATCCGAGAGTTCGAGCTGAGAAGACTTGTGGAAGCACCTGTCTTCCACACCAAACATAGCAAAGAGTATCACCGCAAGAGAGATTGCAAAAAATCTCCGCCGTGAAATCATTCACCTGACAGCCTGTAGAGACTGTACAGAATCTTCTCTCCCCTCATTGTCAAGTCCACGCCGTGAATCGAGTGGATGTTGCGACTGATGTCGCCATATGGCTGTCAGGGTGGGATCTGACCGCGGTGCCGATGAGCTAAATAGGCGCGACGCCGCCTCTTCCTTAAGTGGGTAACTTGGTTGAAGGGATCCAAAGACCTCGGGAGCTTAGGGGATAACTGGTTGACTCCAATTTCACTAGGGTTTAACATACATATATCTATAGCTAATGGGGGGGCACCACCTTGCGGGGATATTCCATGATATTCCACATTTTCTGCATTTGAATCCTAGCTGCTAGGGGTTGAACATGAATTAACGTCTTGGCGCATCTAAGTAGCCTTTTGATCATCATTACATGGCTGTTTGGGAAGGGAAGGGACCAATGTCTATTCCCATATATGCCGAAGGGTGCCTTACAGGGAACACCTTTGCCCGAAGTGGTACATATCTAAATATTGCTATCTACCTGTCTGTCTGTCGATCTATCTATCTATCGATCTATCTATCTAAGTCTATCTATCTATCTATCTATCTCTCTCTCTCTCTCTTTCTTTCTATCAATCAATCAGTCAATCTATCTAGCTATCTATCTATCTATCTGTCTATCTGTCTGTCTGTCGGTCTATCTGTCTACCTGTCTATCTGTCTATCTGTCTATCTGTCTATCTGTCTATCTATCTATCTATCTGTCTATCTGTCTACCAGTCTATCTATCTATCGATCGATCGATCGATCTATCTATCTATCTATCTATCCTTTCTTTCTTTCTTTCTTTCTTTCTTTCTTTCTTTCACCCATCTTGTCTATCTTGTCTATCTAGCCTATCTATCTTCTCCGTCTTCTCTTCCTAATTTATCAATCTAATCTATCTATCTAATCTTTATTTCCTATCTATCCTATCAACCCTATCCATCCTATCTTTCCTATCTTTCCTATCTAGCCTATCTATCCTACCTATCCTACCTATCTATATCGTATCTATCCTATCTATCCTTTCTATCCTTTCTACCTTATCTATCCTATCTATCCTTTCTTTCCTATCTATCCTATCTATCCTGTCTATCCTGTCAATCCAGTCTGTCCTGTCTATCGTGTCTAGCCTGCCTAGCCTGACTATCCTGTCTATCCTGGTCATTCTATCTGTCCTATCTACCCTATCTATCCTGTCTATCCTGTCTATCCTGTCTTTCCTGTCTATCCTATCTATCCTATCTATCCTATCTGTCCTATCTATCCTATCTATGCTATCTATCCTATTTATCCTTTCTATCCTTTCTTTCTTGTCAAACCTATCTATTCGATCTATCTATCTATCTATCTTTCTTTCTTTCTTTTTATCTATTTGTTTTTTGTCTATTTATCTTTAAGTATATTCAAATGACATTGTGGATATTGATTGGATACCTTTCGGTAAGCAAACATGGCTAGCTGGGAAATCCTTATAAGCAGCAGTTTTTATGGGAACATGATTTACAAGTATGTTTTGTTGGCGGAGAGTATCTAGGAATTTGCAGAAATTGGATGGTGTACTTTCATCACAAAAACACCAAAGAATTGCCGACGGTATTGTCTGACGCACGCGGTTATGAGTCTGCAAAACATTCACGACTTGCAGGATTACAGATGGCACAATCTCTTCCCCCTAATTTTAGATACCCCCATTCTATGGCTCCAAATATGTATACATCGAGTACATCAACCATGGTTTCTCGGGGGTGCTTAAGATGAACTGGGGAGGGGATTAGACATTCTGACGGACAGAAAAAGACATAAAAGAAGGATGAGAAGGCGCCACATCGTTTTCGTTTTGAGGCTGAGAAAGATTGTTTTGGAAGCGACATCGCTTCAGGCGTGTGTTGCAATCCCTGCCTTTTCAAAACGACCCACAGCAATCTGTGTGGACCGGGCATGGTCCTTTTTATGTCGGACCGAGTCGGTAGTTGTGAGTTCTTATTGCACGCGGCCAATATTTGTTCGAACACGTGTGCAAAAAATCAAACCGGTATATCACAGATGTTCCGAACTATCAGTATTGTAGAAGCAGTTAGAGAGCTCACATACACACACTCCCGTACATATATATATATATATATACATATCCAGGTGAACAGTCATGTGGAAGAAGTCGTGTGTCTCAGCAAAAAGGAGCCAGTTTGCCACGCGAGAAGGCCTTGCCTTCTACATGTTCCCTTGCTGGAGCACTCCACTAGCATTATTGCGTGTATTGCCTGTGTCTCAGGATCACATACATGTCTACAAACAAACACACACGCACACATACCATTTTTGTATGTTGTGTATATGTGTATGGCGCTAATTATTGCTGTTTCGGATTTCGAGCGATAATTTTGCACAGGTGGGTTAACCAGGTATCATAGATTTTGACATAGCAGATTGATATGTATTTATTTATACATAATATATGTTTCAGTAATATCAGATTTTTTTTTTGCATAATATGTTTATTTGTTTATTAGAGGCCGGGAGGGTCTCAGACAATGTATTTTTTTTGGCGTCAGTTAGGACGTCTGATTCTCGGAATTTCCCTCCGTAGCTCAAGAAAAGATTGCTCTACTTAAGAGGCGTTTGGAAGCGGACAATGCTTTCCCAATCTTGGGGTGAATGTCTTAGAACGGAAAATGATTGGAAGGTTTTTACGGAGAGGCAGAAACATAGCACAGACACACAGACACATAGACACGCAGAAACAGACACACGGACGTAGGTATGGTACTTACATCCATCCTTCCATCCATCCATCCATCCGTCCATCCATCGATCCATCCGTCCATCCGTCCATCCATCAATCCATCCATCCATAGATCATTCCATAGATCCATCCATACATCCATACAGACATATGTACATACATAGGTATGTCATGTGTGTGTGTGTTGTTTCGTTTGCGTAGGCACGTGCCCTTCACGCGCACACGCACACATGCGCACGTTAACATGTAAGCAAAAAGTAACAACATGTATACAATGTGTCTATCTTAATGCATATTCATAAATACATGTATTTGTGTAAATACATATGTATGCACAAGATATGTGCATTTATTTCCCCCCGCCTCAGCACGGTTGCTCTTCCACTGGTTGTTCCAGCTTTGCGTTTCCTCGCCTCAGGACTGGCCTGAAGGCATTTCCAGTGGCAGCATGGGACATCCTTTCCTATGCAAAGCTCCGTGCATCCGGGCGGTCTACGGAACTTGCATGAAGGGCCCCAGGTGCGAGTTCTGCCATTTGGAGCACAACCATCCGAAGCGCAAACTACGTCGACAGGAGACCCAAAGGGAACCTGGTAGTGATAGTGGTGGTCTTGGTGGTGAATGGTATTGGTGGCATTGTTGTTGTTGTGGTGGTGGTGGTGATGGTGGTGGTTGCTGTGGTTGTTGTGATTCTTGTTCTCGTTCTTGGTGTTTTTTGTTGTGGTTCTTCTTGTGTGTTTCTTGTTGTTCTTTTTGCTACTGCTGTGGGACTTTAACAGAATAGAGATTCTTTTCTGTGATAAATTTTTTCAACCATAGAAGATGGTGCACCCCAGTCAGAAATGTTATATTGTCAGTTGGTTAGTACCTCTTAACCCGGCCAACAACTTAGATGTATCTGGTATATCTACCGTAAACCCTAGTTATTGGAGTTCTGTTGATCAACTTAGCTAACGACTGAAATTTGTTGATCAACTTAGCTAGCGGTTTGGGCCCCATCTTGTAGTTTGGGAGGATTGTGCAGTTGTACCAACCGTTTCAACTGTTTGTAACTGTTAAGATTACGAATCGCTTACATGATTTTTTCAGCCAGTAATCGCTGTTAGGGACTCCAAAAAATGGCCAGGCGTGTTTTTCAGCTGTGGCGTCAGGACAGGCAGCGATTGGAGGAGATGCCGGAACTGCTGGTTCTGCTGATCCTCCAGTGGCACGTCCAGCGCTGTGCTACCAAGCTCCGTCTGGATGAGCCATTGCAACTCGTGTGGCTCGATCAATTGGATGGCCATACACTGATTGATGATCGATGATTTTTAGGGGGTATCTCATTAGGGTTTATTGACTAATTATATGTAATTTAGAATTAATAAGCGGGTTGATTACCAGTAGTACCGCGCAAGGCGGTGGCGGAAGTTTCAAAAATAGGAAACCTATAGGAGAGATTCGTTCTTGTGAATCACGGATGGCAGAGCGAATCCATGCACTGATGGACCAAAAGGTGGATGGAGCTGTGAGCTGTGTTTTTTGGAGTGGTTGCAATGGTTGCAGTGGTCACCTGGTCGTCACCTCACCCACAACTGCTGGATGTAGTGTGGTGTAGTGCGGCTGTGGTTGTAGTTGTAGCGTAGTGGAATTGTAGTTGTGGTGCAGTGTAATTAGTGTAGTGTAGTTGCAGATGCATTTGTGGTGGTGTAATGGGTCTAGTGTAACGTAATGTAATGTAATGTAATGTAATGTGGGGTAGGGTAGTGTAGTGTAGTGTAAATGAGTGTAGTGTGTTGTGGTGTGGTGTAGAGTGGTGTAGTGCCGTGTAGTGTAATGCAATTAGTGTAGTGTAGTGCAGTGCAGTGTAGTGTAGCGTACTGTAATGTAGTGTAATGCAATTAGTGTAGTATAGTTGTAGTTGTAGTGTAGTGTGGTGTTATGTAATGTATTCTAGTTGTAGTTGTATGTGTAGTTGTAGTTGTAGTTGTAGTTAGTGTTGTAGTTGTAGTTAGTGTTGTGTAGTGTAGTGTCGCGTGGTGTAGTGAAGTGTAGTGTAGTGTAGTGTAGTGTAGTTGAGTGTAGTGTACTGTAGTTTAGTGGAGTGTAGTGTAGTGAGATGTCGTGTAGTGGGGTGGGGTGTAGTGTAGTGTAATGTAATTAGTGTAGTTGTAGTTGTAATTGTAGTTGTAGTGAGTGTAATGTAGTGTAATGTAGCGTAATGTACTGTAATGTAGTGTAGTGTAGTGTAGTGTATGTAGTCTCGTGTAGTGTAGTGTAGTGTAGTGTAGTGTAGTGGAATGTAGTGTAATGTAGTGTAGTGTACGGAGTGTAGTGGAGTGTAGTGTAGTGTAGTGTAATTGAGTGTAATTGAGTGTAGTGTAGTGGAGTGCAGTGGAGTGTAGTGTAGCGTAGTGTAATGTAATTGAGTGTAGTGTGGTGTAGTGGTGGTTTCAGTTGAAGTGCCACAAAACTCCACCTTTTTGCTTATTTTTGGCAACGTGCAGAATCCCTTGCGCCTGCCATGCAAAACGACATCTGAACGTCAAAAAGTGCTTCGAACCCCTCAGTTATTTTACACTTTTGACTTCGAAATGTGCTTCGCGCCACAACGGCGTACACTTTTTCGACATCTCAACTTCCAAAAGTGGTCCGGACTCCTGGTGTTTTTTAACATGTTGACTCCGAAATGTGCTTCGCGCCACAACGACGTGCACGTTTAAGACATCTTAATTTCCAAAAGTGGTCCGAGAATGGTGTGTTGTGTACTTTTGACTTCGAACTGTGCTTCGCACCACAACGGCGTGCAGTTTTTCGACATCGCAACTTCTAAAAGTGCTCCGAAGCTGAGGTGTTTTGTACATTTTGACTTGGAAATGTGCTTCGCGCCACAACGGCGTGCAATTCTTCATCTCTCATCTGGCCAGCTGGCTCTGCACCCGCTGCTTTAGTGAGCCTACTTTTCGACCCTCCGGAGCCACAAATCAATGGAAAAACACACTGTTTCGCGCCTTTCCTACTTTTTCGCGCACCGGGATCTTCTTTCTTCTGAGACTTTCTCTTTTTTGATATTCTTTCTTCTTCCCTTCCCTTCTCTATTCTTCTGCTCCACCTCTGCTTTTCATCTGTCCATATTGTCGGAAGTTTGACTTCTAAACTTCCTTCGAATAACATCTGATGTGTTATTTGTGGGTGTCTAGCCCTATCTAGCCTGAGGGATTTATCATGATTTATCAGTTTTTTTTTTGCGTCCTACCTTGAAAAATTATTTTGGGGTGGGACCAGGTTCTAGAATATTTTTCAAAATAATTTCCATGTTTCCATATTTTTAAATGTTGACATCAGCTAACAAGAATCATAGCAACATAATTTATGCACCCGTAACCCGATGATGAGGCAAAATAATTTTCCACCTACAGAAATTGAAACACCTTGAAATAATGTTAAGCAAACAATTGAAGGCACCCCAAAATAATTTCTCAGTTGGACTGGGGAAATTATTTCACAGAGTTCCAACTGTATAGAATAATTTTGCCAGGTTAGGCTATTGATTTCATGGGGTGGTCTACTGGCACCCCCACCCCCAAAATAATTTATTGGGGAGAAAGGAGTCGATCAGATTTCTTCGTCCAAAAGTCGATAAAAAGTGGTTCAGTAGTGCCACCACCCCCAAAATCATTAGGTTCTCATGGTTGTTTCTTTGAGATTTGGATCAATTTGGTATTTTTGACCTATTCCACGGGAAGTTGAGTTTTGCCAGGTTAGGTTAATTTGTTTTTTATGGGGTGGTCTAGTAGTACCCCCACCCCCAAAATAATTGTCTGGTGTGAAAGGGAGTCAGTTTAGAGATGATTTATTTGATTTGTGGTGCCACCACCTGTGTGTTTTTTTTCCACGCTTGAGCGGCTGCCCTGCCAGGCGGCATCAGACGTCATTAGATTTTGTTGATTATTATTTCGAGGTGGTTCCACTGGTTTTTTCAATCATCCATCACCATCATCCACCACCTCGAAACAATTTCAAAAAATATTTTGAAGTAAGGAAACTGTTTGAGAGTAATAGTGGAACCGCCACCAAATATTTTATTTGCAACCTCTCAGACACTATTTTGAGGGGGTGGGTAGTGTCACAGGAAATTATTTTGAGGTGGGTTATAGTGTTTTTGAAAAATATTTTGAAGTGCCTCCTAACCAAAAGCACCTCTGATTCATTTTTTTTAATTATTTTGAGGGGGCACCTCGTGTTTTTGCTTATGGTAGCCCGCATGTTTTTTTAGCGTACTTGTAAATCAAGCCGGCAATCTTGTTTAGTGTGACCTTTTCCTGTATATGTTGAGCCTTTTTGGGGATTAGATTTTTGGCAAGGTATCAGCCTGCGCCACCAAGGTTGGCAGTACTGGAACGACGCGTGAATTTGCTGCGGGAGGCTCAGCCACCCACGCACACTGAGGTGCGCTGGGCCATGGAGAATCTGTGGACCTTGCGTGGTTTCTCCCTTGGCCGCTTGTTTGACACTTTCCAGCTTTGGCCTCAAGTCGATTCCGACTTCAAACGTGAAATGAAGTTCTTGGTAGATAGCACTCGTCAGGGCATGGCCTTGCCCAGTTGACGAACGCAGTAGTAGCTGCAACAGCTGTCCGGGAAGGTTGGAGACCCCGAGGTTGCCAGTCAAAGGTGTGGAATGTGCATCTTGCATCAAAGGTCTGCAACAACTTTTTCCACTCCCGACACAGACAGGTGACAGGGGAAGCCATTGACGCGTGTTGCTGCACAGGTCCCAGCACAGATGTCATTAGAGCCACTGGATGTCACAGCTTGTGATTAAAAAGGTTGCTTAATGACCATGTAGCCCGGCCCCATCAAACTTTCCGTTAAATTGCCTTGAAGCAGCCTGTATAGTTTGACAGTGTAAAACCCTGAGGACGATGCAAATTCTTACGACATTGAAACTACTACATCAAGACCCGAAAAACTGGTTGAAGAGCGAGCAGAATCAACCAGTGGTGTTTGTAGGATTGTCTCCTCGACCTGACGATTTTGATAGGGAATTCGGCCATTTCAATATGTTTTTTTCGTGATGAAATTCTTTGAAATTCTCCATCAGCGACACGCTGCCCACCATCGATTTTTTTTGCAGGTTTAGCTGCCAATGTGCTTCTGACGTCAGTTGGACTGAAGTCCATGATGCAATATGACGCCGGGTGCATGTTGGAGCAGCCCTGTGAAAAAGCCCTTCCAGCTTGTGGAAAAGTCATGCAACAGACTGCAACCATAGAAGTCGTAATTCCCACGGCTGGAAAGGCAAAAGTCAGTGCTTCGAGGATGTGCCCTGCTGGCTGCTTGTTGGTCGTTTTTGTTTTTTCCCTTCGCTTCCATGAAACAAACTGGGCCAGATGTGGCCCACAGCCACAGACATCCCAAGACTTATATATATATAAATACAATATATACAATGATGGGCCCTTCTACCTGTAGAAGATGCATCTTACTTGTTGAAGTTGTTTCGCACTTAGCAAACTTGCGTTTGGAAATAGATGTATTAACATACAACTAACTTGCAAGTTCTGCAAATTCCGTATTATCTACAAAATCAATGAAAAACGCCTAATTTTGAAACTTGGCGCTTGTTATCTATACATGTTGAAATCATAACACGCCGCTAAACCTGCTTCTGGAAATCGTTGTTTGAAGCCGCGGATGACATTTCATCATGCAAAGCTCTTTTTCCTCAAAGGCATCTGCAGCATGTATAGAAACTTACAAAAGCATTTGCGCCATGGCTTCTCCAAAAAGCCACCATGTGGGGAGAACGGGTTGGATTTGCTTCAGGAGCACAGCTTTCTTTATGCCGGTCAATTGAAAAGACCGGCTTAAACGAATCTTGCAAGAAATCTCAGTGAGCTCTTCGTAAATTACACATGCATTGCCTGAGTGCTCTGCCGAAAAATGGGATATATATCAAGATAGCAAACTGGAAACTGTCAAAGAGACAAGGCAAGAGATATGAAGAGATACCAAGAGATACCAAGAGATACTAAGAGATACAGATACCAAGAGATACAAGAGATACCGTTTGGGAGGCGGTATACCAACGGTATCCCTTTGGTATCCTTTGGTATCTCTTGGTATCTCTGGGGTGGGCGGTGCTGCAGAGATACCAAGAGATACCAAGAGATACCAAGAGATACCAAAGAGATACCGTTGGGATACCGCCTTCCAAACGGTATCTCTTGGTATCTCTCGGTATCTCTTGGTATCTCTGTTGTCCTTCCAGACGCGTATCCCATTTAGGGTTTCGGCTTCGGCTTATGCTCGCGACTCAAGCTTATGGGTTTTCAAACAAATATCCCGGCCACGACGCAGTGGCAGCTATCCAGCAGGGACCCCACGGGCTACAGGATGCCATGCAGGAAAACCGAAAAATGCCCTAAAGCCTTATGGCGACAAAAGGCTCTCGAACCAACCATGATCAACGCGGACAACCGCAGCTGACCAAATGGAAAGCAAAACCAACTGAAATCAAAGAACAAAACAAATCAAACAGTCCAAACACATCTGCAAGCAACAAAAAACATCATTTTTCTTAAGAAGCTCCAAAAAAATAAGCGAAAATCAAGAAAAAATACAAGTTCTTCAAGTTCGAACCTTCCAAAAATGCAACATAGTTGCATGTGCCGCATTCAAGATGCATATCAGCTAAATAAGATGCAAGTAGCGTCAGAACTTAGCGAACATACACAACAAAAACCTACTTGCAACTATAGTTAAACCATATTGCAAATATAGTTAGCCCTACTTACAAGATCTTACAAGTAGGACAACTAGAGGGGGCCATCATTGTATATATATATAATATACATGTTTTTTATTTTATGTATACATTGAGGGTCCTTCGCGGCAAAGCCAAAGATAGCTTCTTTTCTGGCCCCACAAACCACGGGTCAGTACTGCTGTTATGCTGCACCACGGGTGCAGACGCCGCGGCCCAACTCCGCGTGCAAATGCCCAATCAAGAAAGTGCACGAGCTCAGACAATTAAGCGGCAGTCGTGTCAAATACTCTTCTTTACTATAAAACGTGCTGAAAATTCCTTGACGGTATATTGTGGTTCGAAGACGTCTTCGTATGTTCGACAGACCACCGCACTCATTGTGGCTATAGCAAGCGGTGGCCCGCGCCGGCCCCGCTGCGGCCCGGCTTCGCCGATGAAAAATGACGGAATCCAACTTCGGCAGCTTTTAAGGCCGCCGGTGGTGACGATCATCTTCGCTGGAAACTATACAGTAGCGGCCCCGCTGGGGCCGCGGCCCCGCCTTCCCTGTAAATTTATAGGAGCGGCCCCGCATACCCATTTACATGGGAATTACAATGTCACGCCAAAAGGTGAGGAAGCCGCCAACAGGCCTAGACACATGTAGCGTTGTATCCCAGGCTTTTTCCCGAATGCGTAGCAAGGATTCCCGTTTCACTCTGGGGGTCTGGGGTTTGAGGGTGGTGTGTTCGCAACAGTTCGCAACCGTCCGCAACCGTCGGCAACCGTTCGCAACTGTCCCGTTCGCAACCGTTCGCAACCTATGGCCGTGCCTATGGTAAGTTCTGCAAAAGGGGTCACTTTTGGAGGTTTCGCATGTGGCGTTGTTCATTTCGCGTGGCAGGCGTGGCACTTTGTGTCAGACGTGTTTTGTAACGTGTTGAAAGTCGTTTTGTGTGGCAGAGGCAATACTTTTGCGACGTTTTTGCAAGATGAGTTGCAGATTTCGTGGCAGGCACAGCACTTTGGACGTGTCCATAGTCATTTTGCGTGGCAGGCACAGCACTTTAGACGTGTCGTGTTGCGTGATTTTGGCGAATCGCAATGGCAGGGCTGCGTCAAGTGGCGGCAAGGTGCAAATTCCGTGGCAGGTGTTGCATTTTGTGAGATGTGATGAAAATTGACGGAAGCCTCGCACGAAACATCGATTTTGATGTTATTAAGGAAAACTCGTAGGAAATATCGATTGTGAAGATACAAAGTGTGAAAATTGGAGGACGTCTTCCACGAAATGCTCCTTTTGATGCTCCCACGTGTTTCGTCTCGAGTCGCCGTGTCTATGGGGGAAGCTGCAAAACCTCTCCTTTTCGAAGGTGTCCAAGCAGGTTGTCATGTCGTTTTCCGTGGCCGGCGTGACGCTTTGTGACATTCCAACCTGTTTCAGAACGCGTCGAAAGTCGTTTTGTGTGGCAGGCGCAATATTTTTGCGTCGTTTTCACAAGATGAGTTGCAGTTTCCCTTTACACTTCACACTCCACACTTTAAACTCTACACTTTACACTCTACACTTTACACTCTATACACTCCACACTCTACACTCCACACTCCACACTGCACACTCCACACTGCACACTCCACACTTCACACTCCACACTCCACACTTTACACTTTACACTCTACACGTTACACACCACACCCTACACTTTACCCTGTACACTCCACACGCTACACTTTGCACTCCACACTTTACACTTTACACTCTACACTACACTCCGCTCCGCACTCTACACTCCACACTTTACACTCCACACTCCACACTCTACACTTTACACTCTACAGTCTACACTCCACACTTTACACTTTACACTCCTCACTCCACACTTTGAACTCCACACTCTACACTTTACACTACACTTTACACTCCACACTCTACACTCCACACTTTACACTTTACACTCCTCACTCCACACTTTACACTCCACACTTTACATTCCTACACTCCACACTCCCCACTCTACACTCCACACTGCACACTTTACACTTTACACTCCGCACTCCACACTGCACACTTTACACTCCACACTCTACAATCCACACTCTACACACGATGCTCCCCACTCCCCACTTTACACTTTACACTCCACACTTTACACTTTACACCCACACTCCACACTGCACGTTTTACACTCCACACTTTACACTCCACACTCCACACTGTACACTCCACACTTTACACTTGACACTCCACACTTTTACACTTTTACCTCCACACTCTACGCACGACACTCCCCACTCCCCACATTACACTTTACACTCTACACTTTACACTCTACACTTCACACTCCACACTCTACACTCCACACTCCACACTGTACGCTTTACACTCCGCACTTCATACTCCACACTTTACACTCCACACTTTACATTCCACACTTTAACTCTAGACTTTACTCTCTACACTCCACACTTTACAATTCACACTTTGCACTCCGCACTCTACACTCCGCTCTCTTTACTCCACACTCTACGCTTTACGCACTCTACACTTTACTCTCTACACTTTACTCTCCGCACTTCACACACTACACTCCACACTTTTCACTCCACACTCCACACTGCACACTCCACACTTTACTCCACACTGTACACCCACACTTTCCACTTTCCA